CCCGCCGGGCCGGGCCGCCATCGGGCTGTCCCCCGTCCCCGCCCGCGGTTGTCACTCCGGGAAGTTCGGTTACAGCCGCGGATGTGACACGTAGATGTAAATCCCTCCGATTAATTCATTTATTGAAGAGCCCTGAGCGCGTTCCGGGCGGTGGAGACAGAATCGCATTGGCTGCTTCGGGTCTTTGTCGTTTGAAACTGGTTTAGAGCGTGGGTGCTTGACGGGTGACCAGAAGAAAGGACTTTAAAATGGAGATGTTAGTTTTCGATGCCCAGTCACCTTCTGCGAAGGGCTGCCGTGTGCTGCACGTTGCTGTGCGCAGCGTGTTCTCCTGCTTCTGGTTTCTGCGGAACCAGGATGTTTCTCGTGGCGTTTCTATTGGTCGCTGCGTTTAAAATTTGAAAAAGGAAAAAAAAAACAACAAACCAACAACCCAACCTAAACCCTGAACTGTCCTCAGGGGAAGGATAATTCTCTTGCATTCTTACTGAATTTGAACGTGAAGGGATAAGCTAATTAGAAAATAACCTGGTTTCGGTTTTTCAGTTCTGTGTGTATTTATCTATTGTGTTATATTGTTTCGTGTCTGAGCTTGGCTTGACCAAAATGTCACCTGCAGCTGACGAGTATTTCCAACTCCTGAGAAAGTACCATGTGATTATTCTGTGTACACAAGACTTAAATATTATTGAGCAGAAATCAAGTGTTTTAAAGGAGTGCTGAAGGGCAGACGCTGCAAATGTGCTTTATGTGAAAATGTGTCACTTGAACACACCAGGAGAAATTGCTTGTGTGAACTGGGGAGATGCTTCGTGTTTGCAGGACCACACTGCTTAGGATGTAACAAAATGTGCTAAATACATACTCTTCATTTAAGTAGACTTATTATCTTGCAGTTGGCATTTTCTATAAATATTTTAATGTTATTTTTGCTACAGCAACAATGCCTGGAAGCCAGTGTATTGATTAGGAGCTTCATTGTGCCCCTGGGTGCAAGAACGACACCCTTTTTTTCCTGAGAAAGGGGGGGAAGTGCTGATGCTTTTTTTTTTTTTCCCCTCTTAAAATACTTTGATGCGAATCTCTCGATTTAGGGTGTTTTCTGAAAGGTTTCTCAAAGAAAATGAAAATATCATTGGGTATTTTATGATGCTTTCATGGAAAGTCTAATCAGTGTGTATGATGAGAGCAGTGTTCTAAGGGCCTGGGCCTTGGTCATCTCTTCAGTGGAGTGTTGCTGTTAGAAGTACGTGTTCTTAGGTAGCTCTAAATTGCCAGATCTTTGATTTTTAAAAATACAGTTTACAGTAGTAGTTTGTAGTTGTTTTCCTGCCTGTGTACAGAGATGTCATATATCCTTTTTTCCACTCTAAAATTCACTGCCTGGTCTCAGCTGAGCCCTGTCCAAGGAAGAGCTTTGGCATAAAGAACTGAAAGAGGTTTAAATGAACCTGCTCCTGAAGCTAGTTAGAAAGAGAGCTATATTTCTTAAAAAAGCAAAACAATGTCAAATACATAAAAAAATTTAGCCTTGAGACACTGCCCTGGGAGTCCCAGTTTAGGTTTAATCAAAGTCTGCATTTCGGTATTTGATGGTGATGTACCCCTTCCTGGTGCAAGACAGCATGCTATATTTATTTATTTTTAAATCAATTAAAATACTGGTGGAACGTTGTAATGTCATATTATTTTATTGGCTGATGCTAGTAAAGCATTTTCACAGAATTTCGTTTAAAATACAGAGACAGGAGAAGGGGAATTGAGAGGAAAAACTTGAGATCTTAATACTTAGAGGCCAGAGAAGCCTGGCTACATTTGGGATTATGACAGTATATAGAATTGTGGCTTTCTGCCTTGTTTCTCTGCCCATGCTTAAAACATTTGGTTGGACCATTTATTTTATGATGGGATGTGTCTGGGACAGGAGGCAGCTGTGAAGAACCACAGCTAATCACTGTGGTACATTTTTTGCTGTTCCCAGTAATAAGATTTGCATACATATGTAGTGTGTGAAACTAAATCATCTGCACTGCAGAAATCTAAGAGCAAAAATAGCCAGTTGTACCAAAGTTGTGTTCCTTACCTGTTGGTAGTTGTTCCAACGTGAGCAGTAAGGGGAGTTTCCTGCTGTCACTGCATTCCTTTTAAGACCCACAAGTAGATAGCAAAAGAAATAAATCTGTGATTGCATTGTTGCTGCAACTCTGGTCTTTGTCTGCACTGAGGGTTTAGAAGACTATCCTTCTGGTTGGATAGATAGCAGCTGCATCAGCTGAGGTGCAGGTTCTGGGTGTTCACTGCTAGTGAGTTGTCACCCATCTGTGGTTTTGGTGGAAGTTTCAGGCACTCGTGCTACATGCACAGAAGGTGCCATTCATAACTGGTGATTTTTATAGTCCTTTTAGCTACTAGGAAAGAACTCCTTGTAGTGATCATGTGCTTTCCCTGAAGAAATTTAAATAATAATTATAATTTGTATTGAATTTTATATGTAGCACAATATGTCATGTATTGGGCATCTAAGTATACAATCTGAAGATAAATTAAATTGCTTATTGAGAAGAAAAGCCGAGCATATTCTTTCATAATCTCAGATTGATAATAATTTTAGATAATTTTTCAGAGCCATTTACATTGAAAAAGGAGTACCTGAGTGTAAAGGCAGTGGTCATGAAATTGTAGAGTACTGCATTAATTCTGAAATTGCTGTATTAAGTTAGCCATTTATGGTCTAGAGCTGTACCTCACTTTGTCATTGCAAGTGTTTGTTAGCTACCATAAGAGTTTCGGATGGCTGGGACAGAGCCTGGCATTATGGTCCTGGTGCTGCTTTGTAATCCTTACAATGGTGAATCAGCCTGGTTTTGGAACTGAAACCTAAAACCACATTGAAATGGATGGAACTGGGTTAGTTAAATCCTTGACTGCTTTCCCCATTGATAACGTTTGACTTGTGTTTTTGTAATATTGTGGAATTAGCTTTCTCTGTTACAGCACTTATCAATAAATCACACTGGGGAATTCTTGTAGCTCTGCAAAAAGGATATTATGGTGTTGTCAGCCCCCAGAATTAGTATCATAGATGTAGAGACCATTTGTCAAAAAGAAAATAAAAGAAAATCAAGCTAAAGATGTGACAGTGAAGGAGAATGGCGGGAGTTCACAAAGAGCTGATGGGGTTGTTCCATCAGAAGCTTTAAAGCATCACTTTCGTATGAGAGGGATGTTGCAGTAACTGCATAGGAGCAGCTTTTCCCTGGCAGCAGAAATGAGGCAACCCAGAAGGGACAATGTTGGAAGATAAGATTTCTAGGAGAACCTGACAGTTTTGAATTAAAATGTCAACCAAACACTGGAATGGTGGACAGAGGTGTCAGCACAGAAGTCTGTTGAGAACTATTGTTTCTTCAGTAATGTCATGGCAAGGGAGATGTTGAAATAATTTGGCCTTTCTTGCGCTTAGCTGTTGCCTGTTACAATGGGTAGTTCTGCACTATGCATGCAAATTTAACTGAGGGCTGATTAAATTTTCTGTCAAGCTTTTTTAGTGATGTAAAGGGGTTCACTCAGCCCCTGGAAGAGAAAATCAACTTTGTCACTTATGTTCTCATAAATGTAGTGCACTGTGCAGCTGTTTCAAAACTCACCTATAATAAATGTAATATTCAATTAGATTTACACGTTAAAATTTGTTTTGGAATATCTAATAGATATAAAATTGTGAAAGAATCTGAAAAATTCTTACTCCCAATACAGTTCTCAACTGTCTTTGATGCACCTCCATACATCATAGTCACCAGCCTTGATAATTAGTTAGAGTATGTATAGACAAGGAAAGAACAAAGATAACTTCTTTGTGCAGTTATTAATACATGTTATTGTAAGGCGCATAGTTAGTAATGGCACATGTGCTCTTTTGACTTCTGAGTTGGAAGGGACCTTAAAGCCCATCTAGTTCCAATCCCCTGCATGGGCAGGGAGACCTCCCACCAGACCAGGTTGCTCCAAGCCCCATCCAGCCTGCCTTTCAGCACTTCCAGGGATGGGGCAGCCACAGCTTCCCTGGGCAACTGTCCTGAATAGGGCAGGATAACAGAAGAGTTGTATCTGCACAGAACAAGATCTATTGCAAACAGTACCAGGGTCTTAACTGTTCTAAAGTAGAAGGCACAAGCAGTCAGATTGTGGGGAAATTGGGAGATTGGAACAGAGGCTAGGGTTAGAATGCAAAAGTCATCTTAACAATACAATGTACTACTAGTAGGTAGATCAACAATAAAGGTAACCATTGAAATCACAGAATGTTAGGGGTTGGGAGGGACCTCAGAAGATCATCCAGTCCAACCCCCTTGCCAGGCAGGGATCACCCAGAGCACATCACACAGGTACACATCCAGGCGGGTTTGGAATGTCTCCAGTGAAGGAGATGTTGGCAAATGTACTTATTACCAAGTTTTATACTAGGTCTATCCCATATTTATTGACTTGTGCTTACTGCTCCTAGAAAGTGTTGAAGTCTGTACCTCTGCATGCTGAAGGTAACTGGGAACTTTCCAGTTAAATTCTGCAGAGTATAAACAGAATTTTTCTAGGCCAGGCAGTAATCAAAGTCCGGACCAAAAATTACTGACTTGTTTGGTTTTAGTCTCGTGTAATTCTTTTGATTACTGTAGAATTTTGGATAGAAGCATTTTCAGGTTTTTAGATTTAATAAAAACCTGAACCAAGACCCAAAATAATAGAGTGAATGGTATGAAATACTGAATGCTTTTTTCTTGAAGTTTTGGCTAACTACTTTTTTTGCGTATTTCAGTGTGACACATTAATCCAGTAAAACTACTTAATAAAGCTGTTCAACATAAATTCTAATTCTGCTTTTATTGCAGTTATTTGTGAATGAACTTAGCTGAATATGGATCCAGGTGGTGGAAGTCTTGGCTTGCAAACACAAGAATCCAAAATGCCTCACACTATGATTATGCAGGATTTCGGTAAACATTTTAACTATTCAAATACTGAATAAAATCAAGACTGTTTTTCAGGTTATTGCTGTGTGTTTATCAATGGTATCAAGATGTAGAGTTAACTAATTCAATGCTATTTGCATGCTTTTTTTGAGAAAATGAAAAATGTTGGACAGGTATGTAATATGTCTTTGAATACTTTGGTTGCTGACCTTGAAACAGTAATTTATTCCAAAGCACAGAAGTAATTCTTAAAAAACAAGCAAAGTCTGTGGGCCAGAGATGACACAGAAAATGTCATCTGGAGTGGAATAGTTTTTTGTGGTTCATGGGCTTCTGCCTGCAATCTCATTGACTGGTTGTTAAATAACATCCAGGGCAGGATGCAAACAGCATCTGAGCTTTTGTGTGCCTGCTTTGATTACTGTCTGCAGTTTTCCTATAGGATATTCCAGAAGGTGTGGTGGGAAATAATGTCTTTGTGTGACAACAGGTAACTTACTGTATAGACAGCAATTTACAGATTCAGCAAATCTGCATGTTCACATGTGCTGAGAAGTTTTCTGTCAAGAATATCAGTCTGGGAGTAGACTGATGCAAGGACACTTGTTTCTAGATTGATTTGTATTTTATTTTTTTAATGAATATTGTTTCTTTTAGTGGCAGTGCTAAATAAACTCAGCAATTTTGAAAGTTTAGAGAAAGGACAGCAAGAAATCTCCATTATTTTCTTTGTGGATCTCCATATGAGAGGAGATGACTTTCCCAAGCATTGGGAAGGACCATGTCTTCATTCTGACATGAGTTAATATCTCTCAGAGTGTACCAAACTAATTGCATTTGCAGTACAATGCTGAATAAATAAATTGTTTATTTATTAATTCTGATAAGAATCATTTTCTTAAGTGTTTTTCTTTTTTTCATTGAGTTTAAACTGTGGTTTTGTGTGTGTTAAAATAATTACCAGTGCATTATTTTTTAATGTATGGAAAAGTAGTCTGCAAATATGACTGGCCAGTCAAGTCTGCTGATAAAAACCAGGTTTCTGCTTCTAGCCATTCCCTGCAACATGCAAGTTGTTGGAAATTGCCCTATAAATACTGCATATAACTGAGTATTTATTTTTATCAAGGCCCATACAGTCAAGAGGATGAGAATTCTTTTATTGTAACCACAATGAATTCTGTGAAGGTTCACATTGCTACTGTAATTAATATTCTATAAATGGGATTTTTAGATTAAATGGCAAACTGGCCTGTGTTTCTTAACATCTCAGCATTCAGCATTGTGAAACCCAAATTTGGGACAAATTCTACATTAGGTCTTGAAGAAGTGGCATGTTTTGTTTTTCTTAATTTAAATCATACAGGCTTTTTGGATAGTATTTGTGGGGTGGAATGCAAAATGTGGCTTGAGAACAGCAAGAGATTGGTAGGTCTGTGTTTAACTGACCCATACATTGAGTCTCTTCCTTAGGTTAACTGATTGCTCAGGCAACAATTCTAACATTGTTTTCCTCATTCATCATTGTTCCCTAGTGGCTGGAATGGCTGGCACTGCTCATATTGATGGAGACCACATTGTTGTATCAGTCCCCGAAGCTGTCCTAGTTTCTGATGTTGTCACTGATGATGGAATAACTCTTGATCATGGCTTAGCAGCTGAAGTTGTCCAAGGACCTGACATCATCACTGAGACGGATGTTGTCACCGAAGGTGTGATTGTTCCCGATTCTGTTCTGGAAACTGATGTTGCTATTGAAGAAGCTTTAGATACCACTGATCATGTTTTGACTTCTGACCTGATAACAGAGACCGTTAGAGTTCCTGACCAGGTTTTTGTGGCTGACCTTGTTACGGGTCCTGAGGGACAGCTGGAGCATGTGGTCCAAGACTCTGTGTCAGGAGCCAACTCGCCTACAATGGTTTCAGAAGAAGTTCTTGTAACAAACTCAGATTCTGAAGCAGTCATTCAAGCAGCTGGTACTGTTCCTGGCTCCACAGTGACTATAAAAACAGAAGATGATGATGATGGCAAGAGTACATCTGAAGACTACTTAATGATATCTTGTAAGTTAAACAAAGGTAGATATAAAGAGGAGGTTGTCTGAAGTAGGAGTGGTCTGATGGGGAGAAGTTACTGTTGCTGGACTCTTGCTGCCTTCTGTGCTGAACTCTCACATGTAGTCAATTGCCCTGTAAACTCTTGGTGTCTGGATCTGGGTGTTGATGATGAAAAATCCATTATTTCTAGTAGAGCAAGAAAGAGAATGACATTCTTGCTGTTGAGTGAATGACTGTGTATATCTTTCTGAAACCAGATATTCCTGAAAATGAAGGGAAACACATTGGAAAGTTAAATATTCCCCATATTTTGAGTATAATACTTTTTAAAAAATAGACAGGTGTATTACCATGCTATGTATATTGGTGTAAAAACTAAATGTTGGGTTTAATCAGTAGAATCTAACAAAGAAATAGGTTTTGAAGATACCTGACTCATGAGATGTTCTCTTACATGTCCACAAAGTATTGTTTGTTTAGCTGTGTTAAAAATTATAGGCATTTAGTTGTATGTTATGGTGCTGAGGACTGACATGAAGGGGTTGTGTGCACTAGTGGATTGGCTCCCTGACACTGGGAAGGGGCTGCCCATTTCAGTTTCCACACTGCATTCGGCTCTGAGGGGGCTGTGTGGTGCTGTTCAGTGAGAGCTACTGAAAGGACCCTTAGATACATTGTGTTTCTTTAGTGGTTGAATTATACTCAAGGTACCAGTTCCTGTTGTTACACAGATTTGATAAAATGTAAGAAAGTTCATTTTAGATTTTTGTCTACTCATTAGCTATTAAAATGTGTGTAGGTCAAAACAGATTTTATTTAGTCAGAAGCAATATGGTAAAAAGCCAGCAATGCCAAGTGTGTCAAAGTGTCAGTCTGTTCACAGCACGATGCATTTATTTTAAATTTCAAGAAGAGGACATGACTGATGACAGAGATTTCAGTGTTTCATAGCGTTTATGCCCCTTATGCACAATACGTTTTTGGTATTTATTTTTTGTTCAGTATAGGATGGACAGCAATGAATTTTTTATCATACTATCATTACTGTAATGCCATTTGTCACTAATAGAAGTCAAAAAGGGGTTTTTTTGAAAAAAAACAACCACCAACAACAAAAAAACCTCAGTCTAAAAGTGAATTAGAATGACAACAGCAACATATCTTTGTGTTTGTAAGTAAAGAAACGCCATCTTTACAGTCAGTTGTTTCACTGAAAAAAACCCTCCTTTCTGACAGGGAATTTAGGATGGGTTGTATTCTGTAGCTGCTGTATTTCCAACTGCTCCCTTTTAAGTAAAGTCATCTTTGGAATTCCTTCTGAGGTGAAGTGTGATGGATAATGATGATCCCTGCATTTAGAGCAGAGCATCTTGACCTTTCAGGAGCAGTTACCTGATGACCCCACTGGTTGATGGTTTTGTCAGATGCTCCCAAGCCTACCATGGCTTTGGCAATGCTTCAAAGCCAGTTTGAGACACAGTTTTAAGCAGGTCAGTTTTATGTGTATGTATGATCAGGATATCCCTGAATCAGCACAGTTAGAAGCTGTATTAGTAATCTGGGATTTTACTTTAAGCAATCTTTTTAGATAATTAAAGCAGTCTCTTGGCTCTGACAAGGTTTGAGGCTGTATTGTACTGGCTGTGCCAGCTTGACCCAACAAAGTGTCTGCTATTGATTTTTTTCAGAAAAAAAGAGTCAGTCTTACAGAGTTGTTAATTTTTGGTTTGTTTGTAATGTCTTTAAATTAGCCTTGAATTTGTTATGTTTATTAAGATAATCTATTGTGTAGACCAGATAAATGCCCCAGTTTATCAAGCAGTTTAAAACCCTTTTTATTCACTCCCATTTTTAAATTGTCAGATTAAACATTCAGCAAATACTACAGAAAGTCAATTTTATGATCTCTTTTTTGGGGTGTGTATGTAGGGCTGTTGAACTTTTTAATAACTTAAATCACATTAGAATGATAGATTTGAAGACTCTAAAAGGCTTAGCTTATAATCTATTGTGTAGACCAGATAAATGCCCCAGTTTATCAAGCAGTTTAAAACCCTTTTTATTCACTCCCATTTTTAAATTGTCAGATTAAACATTCAGCAAATACTACAGAAAGTCAATTTTATGATCTCTTTTTTGGGGTGTGTATGTAGGGCTGTTGAACTTTTTAATAACTTAAATCACATTAGAATGATAGATTTGAAGACTAAAAAGGCTTAGCTGTCTTTTAGTGAAAGGTAGCATCTAGAAAGGGGGGACTTGACATGAAAGGACAGGGAATTCCCTTAGGGAATGCCACCAGCTGTCCTGTGGAACACATTGGAGGAACTTCTGTGGTGTTTTAAGGTGTGAAGCTGAGATGAGCTTGGAATTTTAAATTACCTTATTATTTTGTTGGGAGTCACATTTTAAATATGCTGAAAGGTGATTTTTCACCATTTTAAGACAGCATTCCCACGTAGATATTTTACACACTACTGCTAATTGTATTTTTGTGTAAATACTATTTGGAAAATAACAGGTTTGCTTGGATGGTTCTGAAAATTAGCTGTGGATGATTTTGTAATTGGAAGGTTTCACTAGAAAAGGTTATCATCACTCTGCTATCTGAGTGCAGATGATTTCAGCTTTTTAAGGTTTTAGGAGAGAAAAGTCTTTTTCTGATATGCTCACAACATCTCCCAGGGGATGGATATGCCTGTTCCCTTGTTTTAAATCCCCACGGTGTCCATTTAAAAGGGACGTGTTTGGGAGGATATGGATACAGAATGACTGCAAAGGGTGTGATGTGAGCCCAGCCCATCTCGGGCTGAGATAGGCAAGTGCTGCCCAGTACCTCCCAGGTGAGCAGGAGGAGCTGGCCCAGCTGGAGCTGAAAGCTTCCCCTCTTTTGTTTTTCAGGTTTGCGATATTCAGAGGCACAGCGGGTTGCCAGCCCCTGCCCCCTGCGCTGGCCCTGCATGCACTATGCTGGTGAGCCCATACCCACCTCAGAGCAACACTGGAGCTGGCTGTAGGGGTAAGGTACTGTTCCACCACCACCTCCTTTTTAGTGTATTGCAGTACAGTGTGACATCCTTTGCTAAGCATTTTAATACTATTGTAACCTATGGAATATATCAGACATTAGAAAAAATAATGGATCATTGTAAAAACCATGGGACTTATCCTGCCCTCCTGTTATCCCTCTGGGCTCCTGTGGTGGGTGTGACATCACCAGCATAGTGCATGCTGAGGCATCACATGAACTGGGAGCTGGCAATCCACGGTGAATCTGGACATCACACACCTGAAAACAGCAAAGTAAGGTAAGTTCCAAGTTGGAAGTGTGCTGAGTTTTTCCTTTAAACCGTGTTTAATCAGGAGGATCCAGCATATATTTATAAAGGTTCTCTCTTGTGTTTTTTTAGTTTAAGTGAGGAGATAATAAAACGTAGTGCTTCTGGTGGGTGAGTCAGATCTGGAAGATATCTGGTATTCCATTGACATAAAGCAAACATTCCTGTTCCTGATACCTGCCACTGGGAAATGTCATCAGATGATTTAGCAGTCTGTGATGGAAGTCATCTTATTTAGACAATAGAATGTTTTCATGTTCTGTTTTTAAAAAAAGTCCTGATATCTTGGAACTCAACAAAGATGATGTTTCCTGCTGTGTTGATTGTTTTCCACTCATCTGATGCTTTTAAAAAATAGATTGAAACATTGAAATTTACTTCATATAAGAAAGCAATTTCAGCAATAGCAATTGCTGATTAAGTGTCTTTTGTTGTTGAGGTATTTGAAAACAGCATCTTCCAAATGACAGTCCAAATCAGTATTATGTTCCCAGTCTAGTTTATATTTTCCAAATTTTGTTATGTTTCACTGTTGCTTTTTTAGAAAACTTGTTCTAGAGGCTCACGATACACAGGCTTCCTGCTGTGTTCCCATTCCTTTAGCTCAAGTAGTAGAGACTGAAGATTGATGAAAAAACACAGGATGGATGATGATGTGGGACTAACCACTAATTTTAAAAATAACATCCTAACTTCACCCCTCTAGGACAGGGCTCCCTATTTTTTGAAGGATGCTAAAGATTTGGGAGCATTGAAATGATAAAACACAAGATGTGAGCATACGTGCTATATTCAGGTATTTTACATTATGTTTTGGCTGAAAATGTCTTTAAAACCTCAAAAACTCCTCCTTTTTTTCCTTATGCAGTCTTTGCTGCATTGAAATTGATACCCTGATCAAGCAACTGATCTTAAATTGTGTGTTTATTCTAATTTCACCAGATGCATAGTGATGTGCTGTGACCCAATATTAGTTACATAGTTTGAAACATTTGCCATAAAGAAAACGTACTGTGTATTTGGGATTGATTCCTGAACTGCTCAGCAGGAAGTTGCTTTTTGAAAAGAACTTCCCAGGCAGATGTCTTTCCTTTCTGTGTTAGGCTGATAATGCGTTATGTTTATCATGAGTTTAGAAAAGTTGATGTTGCTTGAGTTGCAGATTTGAAAATAACTTTATTGGCACCTACCAATTCTAAAATGACAGTAACAGCTTAAAATTGTTGATTTCTTCCACCCAGCCTTTAAATATTCCTTCTTCTCCTTAGGTTAGGGCTAGGTTCCTCTCCAAGGCAGGAGTGTTGTATGCATAGCTGTACTGTTACCTCCAGTCCTTCAAAGACTCATAAATGCAGTGGAAATGTTAATTGTACTAAAATTAAAAGTATGTGTGCATAATTTTGAAGAATTTGGATAAGAAGCTTTTATGAATTTTAAAAGCCATGCAGAGAAGAAAATGGTCTTTAATAAATTCAAACATAGTAGCTGTATGGAAGTAGATATTCCAAGAGAAGTGTGTTTTTAGCATCTTCCCTTTTCTTGTTGGTAGAAGAGGCATAATCCTCTGTTCTCATAACTCCATCCTGGCAGCATAAAAAAATGCAATTAGCAGATGCAGTAACACTCCCACACTGGATATAAAGATGTACCAGTAACTTGATGCTGGCAAAGTTCAGTGCCAGAGGACTGTGCCAGGTTCTCTGTGGTGCTCCCTTCTCTGTGCCTTTCGTGCTCTTCCTCTCTTCATGGTCCTGCAAGGTAACCTGAACACAATGCAGGATGTGTTAGAATTGAACAGATCAGGGTGTTGATGTTGCTGACACCCATTTTAGTAGAGATTCAGAATGTTTTTCATTAAAAACCAAATCCTCTTTTCCTAAGGAGATTTTAATTATTTTCTACTGATCCAAGTTTTATATTTTTTCAACAATGCAATTAAACTCATCTTTACAAAAAGAAACAGCTAAACCATATCATTTTTTCATGTTTTCTGTTTCATTTTCATGACAATTTATCATTTCCAGAGGTTCTAAAATTAAAATACTAGTACTTACCTACATTATATCTAGTTCTGTTTTCTGTAACTCCTGTACTCTGCTGCTGCAGTCCAAGATTTGTGAATAGAAATAAGGTTCCTCAGCATGAGGCTGGTGTGACTTGGATGGGTGTTCCTGTGGAATCCTGCCTGTGAGTGGGAAGAGCTTAGTCTGGGATTGCTGTGGTGGATTCCCACCCTTGCTCCTTTGCTAGCAGTCTCTGAGCCCCTTTGCTTGGCTGCCTGGAGAACTAAGAGAGACTCAGAGCAGCTCCAGTTAGCCCAGTAACTGGCCTTGAGTCTGGACCAGTCAGAGATGGCTTTGCAGGAGTGTCAGCACTGCACTGCACCACCCCACCCTCCCCCCCGAGGGGGACTAGGAAGCACTGCAGCCTTCCCGAGGTCAGGCCCCTATCCCCAGAGCCCCCAGGGGGATTGAGAAGCACTGCAGCCTTCCCGAGGTCAATCCCCTTTCCCCAGAGCCTCCAGGAGGATTGGGGAGTACTGCAGCCTTCCCGAGGTCATGCCCCTTTCCCCAGAGCCCCCAGGGTCTGCACTGAGCAGACAATTCTCAGTTATGAAGCACTGCTGTCACTTCAATATTAATTGTAAGTTTTGTTTTGCTTGTCTTGTATGCACAGATTTGGATTGTTATGTTTGCAGTAAATCACAGCTTCTCGGGGATGTATTAAATTCAGACTTAGTTTACATTTTGTGGAATTGTTCTCTGCTTAGAGGGCTTTGATGGGTCAGTTCTGCAGTTTTGTGGTGACCATCTGCACAGGAGCTGGTTCTGTCCACTGGGACCAGTGTGATGGCAGCATGTGTGCCAGAAGGCTGCCTCCCTATTGGCCATTTGGGATATATGGATATCTGTATGAATGCCCTTCTTACCAGAATATGTTCCTACTACACATCTAATAGGGTGAATGTAATTTTTGTTGTATAAATAAAATGAACGTTTTGTATGGATAGCCCAAATAACCAGAGTGACTAAGGTATAGACATGAAGAATGAGAAGTTAGTTTCCCAAAGTATTATTTGGATTCTCACTGTATCTTTTAATCAGCTGTATAGTACACAGTAGTCTTTGGTAATTTGTATGTTTGCGTGAGATAAAGTGGTTAAAATAATAATTTATTTTATGGTGAAGATGTGGGCAAATCTTTGATGCACTGCTCTTCCCCTGGGAATGGACTCAGTCATGACTCTTGATCAGCTACTACGTTTCAGACACTGGTACCTTAGAGCAGCTGGACTCTTTGATTATAACAGGCAATTTTGGGCTAGGTTTTAACATATTTGGATAGGTGTCTAGTTTTATTTGCTGGTGCATTTTTGCTTTCTAAGTGTAGTAGTTTCAGACATTACCATCCACTCTCTTTGACAACAAGCTCCCTTTGACAACAAGCTCCCTCCTTGCTGTGTTTCCTGGGTTGCTTTAAAAAGAGTCCTGAACTTCTTGGAATCTCTCTTCTGTATCTTGAGATGAACTGTTCTGTAAAAGCTAGTTAGGAATGCAGAACTTTCCTATGCATGGGGATAGTAGTGCAGAAGAATCATGTTACTGATAACTTTGAATTTTGAAAATTGTGTTTGAACCTTATTATTATTCTCTTGTCTTTACAGTGGATGATGTTGGAGAAAAACTGGACCACATAGGAAGCACTCCCTTGAAAATCAGTACCGAGGTGGCAAATGATGATGTTGCTAAAGATGATGGGTTTGGTTCAGAAGTTATCAAAGTGTACATATTTAAAGCTGAAGCTGAAGATGATGTGGAAATAGGTACCTTTTAAATTCTGTGTATTCTTAAGCAATCCAAAGCCTTTTCGTTTGTTGTTCTTAATTTCATGTAAGCCGCCAATGGGAACATTTTCTAGAACGAGACATTTGTGGAGGCTGCCCATTGCAGTGAATACTGGGTGTCAGTTAGGGGTCTGTTAGTGTCAGGTTCTTTCTTGATTAGCAGTATTTCTTCTCAGGCAACCAAAGCCCAATTGTAAAAGTATTTGGGTGTCTGCAGCTTTTTTTCAGCTGCTGCTTTTTTCTGACCTTGCAAGACTCCATGTCAGCACAGAAAAGCCTCTAGAGTGGATTGCTGTCCCAGAACAGTCTTTGGTGGCCTTAACACAGAGAGAGGGGAAGATTACTGGGGCTGTAGGTGTACAGCCATTTCCAGACCTACCCAAGACACTCAGAATTGCTCTGCAGTTCTCTTTTGCAGAGGCTAGATCCAGCACTTCATGTGCTCTGCAAGTGAACATGCTGCTAACCCATGTTCTGTTCTTCAGCTGTAGAAGCAGAGTCCCCTTACAGTTGTCAGACCTGCAACCTCTGGCTTGTTCCACTTTAACCTTTAGATTTGGGTACTGAAACTCTGCTTTACTGGAATGTACCTTGGCCAGGAGTCCCAGAGCCAGGGCAAATCAGCCTGGCTCTCCTTGCTGGGGTGGAGAAGGTGGTTCCATCTCCCATAGACCTGCAGCACCGGCTTGGCTGAGACAGAACTATGGATTAGATCAGGAAAGTCCTCCTGTTAGTAACGATCCTGGCACTGTTTTTCAAGTAGTATGAACTGCTGCTTCAGGAAATTCTTGTCTGTGATGCCTTTGTTTTTCTTCTCTGAGAAACAAGCCATCTTTTCAGCTCAAGTTAATGGCAGGAGAGGATTGTTCCAGGGATGATCAAAATGCTAAGTAATAGATGTTTTGTCTTTGGTTTTCTCTCTCTTAGGGTACGTTCAGAATTAGTTAAGACTGTCTTATGAGTTTCTTAGTATCTTTTGCAGGATGATACAGTGTAGATTTTGGAGGCTATTAGTCAAGTCCTTCTCAAGGTTGCCAAAGTAACTTAACATGTTTCACTGTCTTACTTGGAATACGAGGCAGTATCTGATTGATGTGAAGCTTAGTGAATATTTCTGTAAGCCCCTGGGATTTTCAGTATTTGGTCCTTAATTCTTTCCAAGTATGAGAAAGAGGTGGTGAAGACCAGGTGCTCTCTGAAACCATGGGCTTGGGAAAGGATCTAGAGAAAGCAGCTTCTTAACATCCCGTATCTATTGTGACATCTGCTTCATCTGCCAGTTCTTACATTAATTGCCAGATCCTGTCCTTGAAATATGGTTTCTTCCTCTGGGGATAGGTTGTCAGTCTCAAGGGACAGACTGCTTATGCCTGTGGCTGAAAACTAATGTACAGCAGGGCTGTTCTTCTGAGCTGCTCTCAGTGCTTCTGATGTAGCCATAAGGTAGTCCTGGCAAATTACCCAGTTCATTACTGGTGAGCTCTGCCCCTGGGGAAGAGCTGATGGTGTCTGTGTTTGCTGCTCAGCATTAAGGAATACAGGAGAGATGACAACTGAGATCCCAGTTCACCCCTTAGTGGACGTCTCTTCATCTTTCTGTCCATGGGGTGGGGTGGAGGGCTCTTCTAAAGTGTCATCCCTTTCCATTGCAGTTCATTTACTTGGGTAAATGTCCTGGCAAAGCCACTTCTGGCAAAATCTATAAAAAACGGGCTTGGGTAGCAAGGATGTTTGGCAGAGTCTCCCATTCACAAAACACAGAGAAGGATGGGTCAGTGTATTTGACTTGGACTCAACCACCTACCTCACCGTTTTCCATCAGGCCTGGTCATAGTAGCAAAGAAGGGCTCTTGGTATGCCAGGCATCGGCTTGTTCTGCCATAGTCTGCAGCTTCTTTACTCATTCTTCAGTCCCTGAGATGCATGGAATACCCAAGCATCAATATTTATCTGCCACCTCTCTGGCTCAAGCATAAGTATCAAGTTCCAGGCCGGAGCTTCTGCTTCTGTTTAAGTAAGTCAGTGGCCAGAGCTTCTTAGTCACCTGGAGCAGGACCATGTGGGCAGTTGTTCTCATTTTCTTCTTTCCAGTTGTCATTCTTCAGATTCTGTTGTCTCCAGGTATTTGGAGCTGCTCCTTGCATCCCTGCTAACCTCTCACAGTAATGTGCTTGTTGAAATAATTGGCAGTCAAGAGATGCTTTCTTGTGGTTTGAGAAGTGTGACCCCAGTGTAAGTTACTGCTCAGTCCCTGGTGATGAGTCTGGGACATAGGCATTGGGGTCTTTCTGGGAAGTCCTTTACAGGGTGAGTAAATAGGATCTGGGGTCTTTTAGGGTCTTTTACAAAGTGAGTAAATAGGATCTGGGGAGAGGATCAGGGATAAGACTTAGCTTCACATCTCAAGAGAATTTAAGGGCTGTGTTCTGGGCAAGATTAGAATTGCAGTCATTGTTTTGGTGAGCCTGTGCAGGTGTGTGTTGCCAGTCACACCCAGATCCCAGCCAGCAGGCTTAAAAGACCCTTGGTCCTTTTTGGGTGGTGGTTGTTCTGGATTGACCTCATGAGGCGACACTGAGAGAACTTTTTCCTTATCTGCCTCAGAGCGTCAAACTTGCATGATTTTATGACAGATACAGATGTCAAAACACGGAGTTTTATATAATAGATTTGTAAATAGGAAAAAACCTTTGAATCTGAAATGAAGCTTAACAGTGGCTTTTTTACATATACTTAATGTGTTTATCTTCTTTTTGTTGAAGGTGGGACAGAAATTGTCACAGAGAGTGACTTCCACAATGGACATTCTGTAGCTGGAGTAATTGAACAAGGAGGTGTTGGTAGAATGCAGCGAGAAAAGATGGTTTACATGGCTGTTAAGGACTCTTCTCAGGAAGATGAAGATATTAGTAAGCATAATAAGAAGTATTTTTGTTTCTCGTGCTGTTTTGTAAAACAATATAAACATCATTCTCAAGGACTTTTTAATTTTTTCTGAAGGATTCTTCAGCCTGAAGTAGTAGAAAACTAAGTTCATCTTCCCTAAAAACAAAGAGCAGGCTATAATTATCTTAAAGTGATGTGGATAAATGCACTTTGTGCATACTATATGCAATAATTTAAATATTTATATTAAATTTAACATGTCCATGGGTGAAGTGTTAATGAGGTTAGTCAACTTTCTCATTTTTCTGTATTTCTACTGTGAATTGCCTTGTTTAATCAGCTTTCTGGCAATGTGGCAAAAGATGTCATCAGTTACAAGTTTCTAAGTTTATATATTTGAATTTCTGTTGGTATTTTAGATTTGTATTTATTTATAAGCGTTTTCTCTCTTTAAGGAATGTCTGAATAAACAATGATCCCCTAAGGGAAGGGGTGGTTCTAAATGGCAAAGGAAGTAAAGTAGTTTGTAACGGGTATCAATCCAAGCAATAATTAAATGAAGGAAAAACAAGGATGAGCAGAATTAAAGATTTATTCTCCTTTAATCCAGGTTGTGCTGAAATAGCAGATGAAGTTTATATGGAAGTTATTGTAGGTGAAGAAGAAGCCACATCACTTCCAGACACACAGCTTGAAGACTCTGGCGTGAATAAAACGTTTGTCCCTGTTGCTTGGGCTGCAGCTTACGGTAGGAACCTGTGTGCTTATTCTCTCCAAGCCCCTGCCATTCTTCTCTCCCCAGTCTAGCTTCCAGCATCTCTGTGCAAATGGGGTAACCTCTCCCCTTGTGCTAGTGGTTTGGAAACAGCTCCTTCTGATTGTCAGTTAGTGGAGTTGATGAAATGATGTGTAAAATCCCTTTGACATCACTCATGACCTGTCACACCTCAGGCTTTTTGCAGTTCTGTAACAAGAGATCTATTCCGTGTTTATGTTGGTGGCTCTTTCTCAAAGCTGGCCTGTCAGACAGTTACAGAGGGCTTCGGTGCTTGATTGTCTTGCATATAATGAATGAATTGCTATTTGTTGGGTTGTATGAAGCTGTAGGAAAATTTTTATGCTGCTCCTACTTCCAGCTCAGAAGCACAGAATGGGTGGTTCTTAAGGGTAGTTTAAGTTGGCTGCTAAAGATCTTAGAAAACCAAGAATAGGCTTCAGTGTGTTGCATGAGCTAGGAGGAAGGGGAAGTAACTTGAAAAAGGGAATAGTAGGAGGAAATGTTCAAACATTTTCAGATTATATACCTGTTTTATACCTGTTAGTCCTTCAGGTTAGAAACTAAGTAAAAAGGTAATTTGTTCTCTGCAGCCATGCTTTAAATAGTAGAATTGTCATCATGGTATAGTGTGAATTCTGAATATTCTTCTATTTCATATCCTTTTCTCAGATTTTTACATTTTAAATGTATATTAAGAGGTATCAAGTCATCCATGGTTTGTGCTATAATTAAGACAGGTAAAATTCATTGGTGTAGTATTTCTGAGCGCAGTGGTTGGACTGATAAAAGTGCTTTAGAACCACAGAGCCTTGGCATGTAGCAGCAAATGCTTTCAATATAAATGAGGAATATACTCTTAAGGTATTACTCTTTAGATACTACTTCTCCATCTCCCAGAGCTTTGTAGGGCCTCATGCAGCTGAGTGCTGAGCAGCTGATAAGGTACAAGTTCTCTGATCTGCCCAGTTCTGCTCCAGAAAGAGAAAGTGCTTGGATCTCAAGAACAAATTGTGGATTTCAGATAGCCTCGTTTCTGGATTAGTATCTGAGGTTGTAAATGAGGTTAAAAGTTTACAGACACAAGCATGTGAATCATGAGAAGCAGGAAGGGCAGGCAGCAGGGTCAACATGCAGGCACAGCCTTAGTGGATGTTAACTGTCCTCAAAGGTGTGGGGGTTTCCTGAAGCTCCTAGTTACGGAATGCTGAACTGATTTTCAGCTGCACATCTCCATTTGGATAGATTTAAGCTGTTACTTATTAGCTAAATTAGTTTTCTCTCATTATCAGACTTTCAAAGCCATCATCTCTAGAAAGAATTTTTATTTCTAATGACTAAAATACCATTTTCTGCAGGAGATGAAAGACGACTCCCCAGAAGATACGAAGATGGTCAAGCGGCAGGTAAGGACCTGTAACTGTGCTTGGTGCAGCATTAAACTGACTTGCTGTCTGTCAGATGAAGTCCATTTCTGTGTCAGTGAATGCAAACCATTATCCATAAAGCATATCTTGAAGGGCTTGACAGTCTTTCTCTACTATTTAGAAATGAAACCAATATTCTAGGTGTGTTTTAGGCCTTCAGAGTGGGTGGAGAAGCTGGGAGGGTCTGCCAGGTTTCTTAGTGTAGTTTTGTAGTCAGAAAAGAAAATGCAGTTGTTAAGAAGTAAAGCCAAGGTACATAAAAGGAAACAACTAGCGTAACTCATGAGAAGTATGAGAAATAAAGGAATATATTTGAGAATTAATCAGTGATTAAGCAATTCTAGTCCTGATTCTTTCCAGCAAAGATATATAGTGCTTTACGATGGCACTCATCTTTTATATGTAAGTTCATTGTAGAGGAATGGGCAGTATTTTTTTTGAAAGAGTAGTTATGCTGCTGTGCAATTCCAATCATGAGTCCCCAAGAAAGAAGTTGTTTAAGGTTTTTTATGGTGTCTAATTTTTGTTTCTAGGAAATAACTTGGATACACGATTAGAAAACAAAAACGGTAATGCAACACAGTACCTGCAGATTTGTGATAGCGTTAGCACTAATAGAGTGCTCAAACAAAAAACCAAGAAAAGGAGGAGAGGAGAGGCCAGGCAATGGCAAACAGGTAAACACTGTATGGTTATCCCTATTGTCATGGAGTGGCACTTGCTCCTCTACTATTCCTTTTGTTTTTCTAAGCTGGTGCAGAATGAAAAAACCAAGACGGTGCTTTGCGTATTTCCTGTGTCCTTCCCCCCTCCAATTCTGGGCATAGGCAACATAGTCACTGGTGCTGCTCAGGCAGTTCACCCAGGGCTGCTGCAGATCATGGCAGCTTTGCAAGCTCTTGCAAAGTAACCCTGGGTATTTTGATCTGTTTGAGCAAGTTTCTAAACAAAATGATATAAATATAGGTGCTGTGGATTGCTTGTATTTAAACTACTGAAGCATTCTCTGCTGCAAGTGTAAGTGCATGAATCTGAACAGCAGTTGGCTGATTTAAAACTTCTTCATCAGTAAATTTGTTTCCTTCATAACTTGTTTTTGTTTGTTTAAAAACAGCTGTTATAATAGGTCCTGATGGACAGCCCTTAACAGTTTACCCTTGTCATATTTGTGGGAAAAAATTTAAATCCAGAGGATTCTTGAAAAGGCATATGAAGAACCATCCAGATCATATGATCAAGAAGAAATACCAGTGCACAGACTGTGACTTCACAACGAACAAAAAAGTAAGTTTCCACAATCACCTGGAGAGCCATAAACTTATAAACAAAGTTGATAAAACCCATGAGTTTACAGAGTACACGAGAAGATACAGAGAAGCGAGCCCATTGAGCTCCAATAAACTAATCCTGAGGGACAAGGAGCCCAAGCTGCACAAGTGCAAATATTGTGACTATGAAACTGCAGAGCAGGGTCTCCTCAACAGGCACCTGCTGGCAGTTCACAGCAAGAACTTCCCTCACGTGTGCGTGGAGTGCGGGAAGGGGTTCCGGCACCCGTCGGAGCTGAAGAAGCATATGAGGACCCACACTGGGGAGAAGCCATACCAGTGCCAGCACTGTGTCTTCAGGTGTGCTGATCAGTCCAACCTGAAAACTCACATCAAAACCAAACACGGGACTGATCTGCCCTTTAAATGTGAGCACTGTCCCCAGGCGTTCGCAGAGGAGAAGGAACTGCAGCAGCACATGGAATTGTTTCAAGGGCATAAGACTCATCAGTGTCCACATTGTGACCACAAGAGCACCAATTCGAGCGACCTGAAGCGACACATCATTTCAGTTCACACAAAGGACTTTCCCCACAAATGTGAGGTGTGTGAGAAAGGCTTCCACCGCCCCTCGGAGCTCAAGAAGCATAGTGAAACCCATAAAGGTAAAAAGATCCATCAGTGTAGACACTGTGACTTCAAAACCTCAGATCCTTTTGTACTCAGTGGGCACATCCTCTCGGTTCACACCAAGGACCTGCCTTTTAAATGCAAAAGATGTAAAAGAGGATTTAGGCAGCAAAATGAACTGAAGAAGCACATGAAGACCCACAGTGGAAGGAAGGTCTATCAGTGCCAGTATTGTGAATATAGCACTACGGATGCCTCGGGCTTTAAACGGCACGTGATATCCATCCACACAAAAGACTATCCCCACAGGTGTGAGTATTGCAAAAAGGGATTCCGCAGGCCCTCGGAAAAAAACCAGCACATCATGAGGCACCACAAGGAGGCCATCATGTGATGTGTGATCTCCAGAAGGAATTTAGAAACTGTGAGATGCTAATTGAGGAAAAAAAAATAATAAAAAAAAAATCTCATGAACTGTTTCTCCTGGTTTCAAAGCTTGATATTAAATCATAACTTTACATTCTTTGTATTAAAAGTCTTAAAAGTATTAGGGTTGGCAGGGGATCTCATAGCCCTATGATTGTTGCTTATCAGAACATAAAGAGCACTATAGAATGCAGAAGGATGGATGAATGTCTTAAATTTGCAATAAGGTGGATGAATGTCTTCAAGTTGATAGTGTTACACATTGTTAAGCTATGGAAGACAAAAAAAAAAAAAAAGATGATTGTGTTACCCATTTTGTCAGTAACAGCACTTGTCTCCAATATGAAAGCAGTTCAGATACATGGTGAGATTATTTACAACTAGTTTGCAAAGGCAGGGGAGTCTTGTCAAAGGCTTGTGCAGTCTTGAGAGTATGAGTCAGTCACTTGATCATAACATTTTAAAATCCTCTCTGGAAATAAAATTCCAGAACTGGTCAAATTTGGGGGGATTGTCCCTTGTTTGGTTGTTTTTTTAAAACATTTCATTGGGAAACTTGTTTCCCTGATTAGTTTAGGTCCAATGGGTAATTTTTTAATGATTTTCAAAGCTGCTAACCTATTTTATTGCAGGATATGGTGTTTAAAATACAGGATTATGTTATGATCTCAAAGGTGGTCTTCTGGTGCTAGGTCTAAAGATGTGTATGTATATAATTTCCCTTTTTTATCTGAAACTACAGTTGAATGTTGTTCAGTATGGCACATATAACAAAAAAAACTTTGATTCTTTTTAAGGATAAAATGGATGCAGCTCATAGTGTTGTGTCTCAACGCTATTGGTTTTTTTTTTCTCCTCACTACTTTAAAATCTCTAAAGAGAAAGTTGAAAAATGTATGGGTTTTTTAATTAAGATTCAGAGTACTTAGAAGTTTCTTTAGGGCAGTGTTCTTAACAGGTATGACAATGTTGTCCTACCTCCTGATAACAAAATTTTCAATATAGACATAAAATTGCACCTTTAAATAAATTATTTTTAAAAAATCAAACCAACCTATACCATACTATAAACGTGCATTTTCAATCTGTAAGAAAGTATATATGCAGTATTTAACCAGAAAAATATGCTGCCACTAGAGTTTGGAGGTGGATCTTCAGTTTACAGTGTATACATTTAAAATATGCATCCCTTTAACCAAGGCTTTGTGTTAGCATGCTGCAAATCAAATGGCGCTTAATATACAAGCTGGTCTAGGGCTATTTAATGAAAAACCTGTTCATAAATGTTATGCATATAATGTGTATTTTTTACTTTTTTAGTTGCTTCATGTTTGCACACAGCTGTTCACATGATACCTTGTAACTTCATGCTATATTGTGGCTTTGTGTTTCAGATAATGTTCATATTTTGTTTTTTGCACCAGACGAGAATCAGTTCCTTGAGAATAAATTTTTTTAATATTTCTAAACTTCAGAAAGTTCAATCTGGGAAATCTCTTAGAAAAATACGTGTTATATGTGGCTGTAAAAAATGATGTACACGCTGTAAAATAAGATTGTCACTGTTATGTGGGATTATTATTTCTAAATGTGTTACTCATCGTAACGGGCATACAATAAAATGCATCTCTTGCACTCCAAGTTTTTTGGAGTTTGCTTTTCATTTATGGTGTTTTTAGCAAATTCTCCTTCTGTGTAAATTTGCCTAAGCTTTATAATGGTATTAGTCAGTAATTAATGTGCAATAACATTTCAACTAAACAGGTTGCTTGAGGCATATTGATCAGGCTGTTGAGGGAACTGTCAGGGCTTGATTTGACTAACCCTTTAAAGTTACAGGTAATGTGCTGATTTCTGAAGTAATTCTCAAATCTGATCCAGAAACTCCTTTTTTCCTTTAAGTAAAGATTACATAAGACCGCTCATATATTTTGGGAAAAGCCAGGTAGGTTTTATCTTTTTACCTGTGTAACAAGAACAGTCTGCAAAATGTAATACTGAAAATACTGATTTCTTGATTTTCCTCTCTTTTAGAGTGCTTGAGTTACAACATCATAGTGTAAAGACTTAAGAAGAGAGCGTGGTATTCCCTGAACTCTTCCCTGAGGATTTCCAGTGGGCTTTTAGCCAGTGAACTCTTAGGGTTTGTACTAAGAAACAGAAGCTGTATAGACATGAGCCTGTTCATCTGGTTTTTGTTCATGCTGCATTGTTGTATGGGAGCAGGAGACTAGCATTCCAAAAACCTCAGAGATGAAAGTTGTGCTTTGTTGACAGTTTAAATGCTTTCTTCCTGAATGTTACAGTGAATACACAGGCTGCAGGAGTTTCTTCAGAGCAGGCTGAAGAGGAGAATTCTGGCTGTGACAGAGCACAGGTTTCTGCTGGCTCCTTGTCCACCTTCGGATGGATGGAATAACCAGGTACCAAGTTATTTACATGTTGTCTGTAGCCACCTTTGGAGAAAGGTTTCATCCCACCCTGCCCATCAGTTTGTGGGCTACAGAACAGGACGTGGGGGCTGGAAATGACAGAATGTTAAACTTGTGGAGAGCCAGCATTTCAGACAGTGGTGTGAACACTGGGCATGACGCTGCTGTTAGGTGTTGCATTTGGGTCACATGTGGTACCTTTAGTTGTTCATACCTGCGATAACTGCTGAGCTATGTGAACATTTACATTTTGTAGTGTATGTGGGGATAACAGTGTTACCTCCAAGGGCTGCAGTGAAAGGCTTTGACTTTCACATACATGAGAGTTTAAAATCACATATGTGGGTTGAACAGTTGCTTAGTTCTGGGTTGATGAGTGGCATCTACTCCTCTTAAGAGCACGGGGTACCCTGTGGGGCACCTGTTTCATTGCCTAGATTTCCATTGCATCTGTTTTTGACTTACCCTAAAACTACACGGCATAAAGGGTGCAGTTTTAAACCATATTTAATGATAGCAGGAAGTGGATGGTGTTTGGATTGAAGTTTGTACAGCTTCATCATTGTATTTTAGAATGATGAAGTTCTGTAACTTTGTATTACAGAAGCTGAAATTGGTGTTGAGGTTTAAGGGTCTGTAAATCCACCTAACCAGATTTGGCTTTAACTAGGAAAAAAAAAGGTTATACCTTTTGGAACATAAAAAACTGCAAGGAACACATTTTTTAAAATGTGAGGGGGGGGAATAGTGGTTGGAAAAACCACAGCTGTCTTTGGGTATTACTGGCTAAGGTACAAATATAGGAGAGAATGTAGGACTTGGAGGTGCAGACTGGTACAGTCTGGGTGTTAGTCCTGCCTCCTGGGATGGAGAGGGGGAGAAATCAGCTGTTAATCAGAAATCAGCAGCGTGACCCATGTGAGGCTTCAGAATTAGTTACCTCCTCTGTTTGGCCTGCTCACTGTGTTGGCTTGCAGCATGCCAGGTGTTTCTCTATAGTAATTGTTTCTCCTCTTCTGCCAGCATCATGTGGACAGTGAAGCCCAGCTAAGAAGACTAACCATGGAAACAAGGTCTGTCAAAGAGAGGAAGAGCCACACAGCGTTAAGGTTTGTGGATTACTACTTTTATCTTGTTAAATGTCAAACAGTTTGAAAGTTTTCAGACTCTTTGCTTGGGCAGTAGTTTTAAAGTTCAGTAGCTCCTAATAGTGCTGGGAGAGTGATGCTTCTGCTTGGCCCTCTGCTGTTCTGTTCTGCTGCTCAGGTGTTTATGGCTGGAGCTGGTCTTATCTATTGTTTGGTAGTTTGAAATTCCCAACTGTCCTGCTCCTTCCAGAATTGATGTCCTGTATCACTGCAGATGTCAAAGCGTAACTGTCCAGGCTGGCTGGACAATAGGTGAAGGAGGGGGTTGAAGCTGTTGGGAGGGCTTTGGTGGTTTTAGAAAAAGAATTCTGTGATGGGTGGAGGGGCCTGTGCAGTGTGTTGCAGGTGGTACCTTGGGGCTGTGGAAGAAGATGTAGAAGTTGGGGTTAGGGAAGAGACAATAAGATATGCCTGCTAGACAGAGGAACCTGGGAGGCAGTGATGTTTTATATGCAATGCTCTAGTGTGTATGTTGCTGAAATAATTTAGGATCGTTTCCTCTGTATCTTGTGTATGTATCATCCGACAGCAGGTGAGACTCAGGTAGAATCAGGGTTGGTTTTTTTCCCTGTGGTTGTGTTTCCGTGACAACTGCAATTCTACATTAAAGCAAACACTTTCTTCTTGACATGAGCTGCTACTAGAAAGGTGCGTTTTAAATAATCTGAAATACAAGAATAAATTTTCACCTGAGTCCTCAGCAGTTGGAGGCACAGTTCCTAGGTTCTTTTCAGTGCACTTTCCAAGTACAATGAATTGAATGATATAAGTTGGTGGTATCGTGTGTTATTGTCCTGAAAACTGACCAATGTCTCCTGTCACTGCTGTGGAGTTGCCTGATCTCTGCTCTTCTCCAGGCACTCTTCAGAAGGCACAATCATTTTTCATGCCTTCTAGTGAAGTCTCTCCCTTTTTTGCCTTTTGTCAGTTGGTTTGGGCTTTGAAGCTGTTTTGTTGAAAACAGTCTTTGCTTGTCACATTGTTCTACATCTGTCCCACTAACAGGGTGAAGTACCTTTCCAACCAGTAGTGATGGGATGGGCTGCCACTCCACACCACCAGGAGTAGGAGAGGTGACATGTGACAAGCTGTTCCCTACCTGAGGAAATGCAGCTGCTCTGGACCATGTTTGGATTTCTCCTCTGCCTGCTCCTGCTGTGCTGTACATGAGGTGCAGACACATCTTGGTGGCTTGAGCCAAGCAGCCAGTTTCACAGACAAGGTTGAAGGGTAGGTCTGAAATTCTGCATTTGGTTACTGCATTTTTCTGTTTGAGTGACAGACTAAGAACTCCATAACAACCAGGAGCAGTTAAAAATTATGTGTCTTGATCATCTGTATTGTTTTTCTTCAGGTTTCAGATGCCCAGAACTAAAGATAATGAGATTAAGAGAGAAAATACAGAACAGCAGCAGAGCACCCTCCTGGTGAAGGTAAGGTACCTTGGTGTAGAACTTGAAGTCTCTGAGGTACCAGGAACTTTTCACCTGGGGCTGTTTAGCTTTTATTGTACAGCCGAGACAGGTGGTGTTGATATGGCATCCTGAGGGACATGGAAAGTCAGTCATAGGAACCAGAAGGCAGTTTTTTATTCTACTCTGCAGTGTAAGGAAGGAAACTGCCCCTGTCAAACCTGTCCTGGCAGAGAGGGGCTATTTAGTAACACACATGATAAAAACAATCTGATATGTACAACAGCATGTGAAGAGTTTTACATGTACGGAGTAAAGCTGTCTTTGATGTCTCTCATTTGCTCCTGAAAAACTTGTAGAAGTCTCAGTGGACCTACCTGAAATGGAGGTGAAAAATTCCCTGGACTGTGCAGCTGAGGTAAGAGCTAGAATTTACAGAGATCGGTAACTGAGAACTCTGCTTCTGTAAACCCAGCAGAAATAATGTTAGGTAAATCAGCTCAACAGAAAAGAGACAATAAATGAAACTACAGCAAATAAAATGTGCTTTTATAGTAAAACATACTAAATTTGCTTTTTAAATACATCTGGTATGAGAGCAAAACCAGCCCCAAATGGCCCTTGTGCTTTACCTCCCAGTCCAATTCAGCTCTTTGCCAAGTATCTCTGGGTTGATGTTACCTGTGAGTGTATGTGCTGGAGGTGCACAACCTGGCCATCAATAACCTGTGTTTCTGCTTCCCAGCTCCTTGGGTGGTGCTGGCAGTGGGGCAAGTCCAGCTGGGATCATGGCCAAGACCACAGTAAGTCCACAGCTTGTCTCCTGCAATCAGAACTGCACTGTGAGGCACACATAACCATGGGATGGCATTAACCAAATCTGTTTGTCTTTATTTCTTGTCTTGTTGAGGTCACCACAGGTGCAAAGCCATTAGATGACACTGTAACTAGAATTATTTATTGGGACAGAGTACCCTGACACCATTCTGTGTCATGCAAACACCTTGTGTACATGGACCTTACGGCCAACAGCTCTCCAGAGCAGAGGGGGTTATTTTAGAATTTAATACACATTTCTGTGGGGCAAGGCACTCATTCAAATGAGGATATTTGATTTTAACTAATTAACAACTTTCTATAGAACTAAAGTGCAGATCTGTCTTAGGCTGGACATCCTCCAAGAGCAGGTTCTACCCCTGGCTCCTTCTCCCAGTTAGGAAGAGCATGAGGTCACCTTTGACATGTCAGGATGGGCATCAGGAGCAAGAAAAGGGACCTAACACTTACTACTTTACTTGTGAAGATTCATTTAGAGGAACAATTTGTCCAAAATGCGGTGTCACAGCACCTCCAACACCCCCTCCAGCCTGTTACAAAGACAGAAGTGTTTTCAGTACAGACAGACGTGACTGGCAAAGTTCCACTTCCATTTATTTCAAAGTTACAGGTAGCTTACAGTGTTCTTTCACCACTAAACATTGTTTATGATATATATTATTTGTGAATAGAAATATATATGTCTGCAGGAATAAAGCAAAGCCAGAAGCCCCTGATGAAGAGCTAGCACCTTTTTGATTGCATAGTTTAGAATTTCCCTTGCATTCTTTGCACTGTGTTGCTTAGACAGTTACTTACTATTAATAACAAATTATTTTGAGAGAATTTCTATGGTCCTGCAAGGAAAGGAGGACATTTTAAATGGAAGGAGATTGGTCTAATAATAAAATTTAGTCTGTGAGCTATTTTATGCTGTATTTTTTATATAAAAATATATTATATTCTTTAAATTTTCAAGTACAGCAAATAAAATACGGCTGTTTTGAGGGCTTAAAAAGGTTCAGCTGACAAATACGTCAATTCTGAGGTCAATAACCATTCTTTATACTTAGCACTTGCCCAATCGTTTCACTGAACTGGGTAATTCCAGTGTTTGCCAATGCAGCAGCCAGGTCTGAGGATCTGTGTATCTGGAGTAAGTGAAGTGATTCTCCTTTGTGTTCCAGCTTCCCATGCACAGGTAGATGTCAGGTCAGTGTTTTTCAGTGAGGTGTTTTGGAAGTTCCCCATGAAGGTTGTTGTGGGCTTTGCTTCATCTTCAGTGGGCAGCAGTAGGTGACCCAGCACTCTGTGCATTCTCTCAGAGTCTGGCTAACAGCACAAAGAAGAAAAGCTTCAGCCTTCTTCCTTTTGTTCCCTAGATTTGCTTCGGGCTGGGCTAAGGAAGAGGAGTCCACAAGAGCACAGCTCTGACTTCAAGGAAGAGTGTGAAGAAGCACAGACACCATCTGTACAGCTGGTAGTGGCAGGTGATGGACACAGGTACTCGAGTTCTTCATGGTGAGGATCAGCGAGTTCTTCATGGTGAGGATCAGCGTGGTTTCCATCTTCTTCATGCTTCCATGTTCTTAAGGTGCTCCCCAGCCTTTTCACTGTGGCACTGAGCCTTTTTCAGATGCAAAGTAGCAGAAAGTAAAGCAGTTGTAGTCGTTGTCAACTCCGTAGAGCAGCTCTGATGGCTCAGGGGTTTCTTTCATTCCTGAAAGAAAACAAGAGGCTTATTAGGAGAAAATACACAAACTTATTTCTGTGTATAAAACAGAACTGCCTGGTGCACAAAGCAAGCCTTCTTTAATTACCTATGTACTGCTCCCCATCAGCACTGCTGTTCAATAGTGACATGGCTGACAGCACAGAAGCACATAAAAAGGTCTTGGGAAGCTTGTAGTAAAGCTGAAATTGGCACTTCCCAAACTTCACAAGTTTATCTTGCAGGAAACCAGTTTTGTTTTAGCTGAAACCTGCACTAGTGATTGATAGAGACCTCGGGAAGCTTAAAATATACACAGTTCTAAAGTATTTAGTGATACTGATCTCTTCAAATGCAGAGTACTCATCTTTTCTCAGTTTTTATAATGGAAAGTCTGTTTTTTCAAGTAGACTAGGAGCGGGTCTTGGCTTTGTTTGTGTAATTTCTCTATTAATATTTAGTTCCTTGACAGTTCACTGGGTTGCAATGCAAGGCTGAGAGGTCAGAAATAAAATCGCTGTTTGCCAGTGACCTCTGCCTTTTATTTTCTTAGCCACACTCCAGACATCACGTCCTTTTAGAACATGGCAGCTGGTTTTACCCTACGTCTACTCAGGCTGCTCAGAGTTGTCATCTTCTTGGTCCTGTCCTCCCAGCTGCTCCTCACAGTGTTGTGCTGCTCTCCATGCCCTGCAGGCAGCGTCACCACCTGCCACTGAGCACAACAGGTGGGTGTGAACTGGCCCTCTTGCTCTTTCTCAGACCTTTCCCTTGGGTTCAGACTTGGCAGCTTTACCTTGTGCTCTGTCACAGGAATCACTTCTGTATCCCTATTTTCTATTTTTACTGAAATCAGGCCTTGCAAGTCACCACTCGTGTGCGCTGCCTGGGCTGGGCGCTGCCCGGGCTGGGTGGGAGTTTCGGGGACGCGGCGCTTAGCATGTTTTAGTAACAGTCTGGAGTCCTTAAGGCTGGTGACTCAGGAATGCTGCCCACCCAAAACACTCCTTCACCTGAAAGCACAACAGGGAAAACTTCCTGCCCAGCACAGCCAGCCATGCCCAGAGTGCCTGCTGCCAGGGCAGAGGCTGCTTGTTTTGTTCAAAGTAATTATGTGACAGCGAAAATAGCGAAAGGTTATTGTACTCATACTCCACCCAACAATTACTGCCCAACAATTACTACCTGCAGTAGACAGTAGAGCTCCTTGGCTTGAATCAGGCACTTTGCTTTTTGCAGCCAGTTAATTTAATACAGTGGCTCATCTCTCAGATGCTAATTTGGGCTCATCATTTCTTTGAAGTTAAATGGATCCTTAGAAATGTCAGAGACTAAATAGTCATTGTCCAGGTAAACTTACATGTTTCCATATCTCTCCAGTCCTCTCGATTACAATAGTTTGTGATTTATTGACAGGTGAGGTAACCTTGTAGTCATCAGACAGGAGGCCCAGGATAGGATACTGATTCCTGTACCTGTATTCAAGAGAGTCACAAACCTGTTACCTGAAACCTGTATCCTCATATCCAGATCACTAACCCTGATTTTCCACCCAGGCTTTGCAGTCATTCATTCCCAAAGGTTTCACTAGGAACTACAAAGCCATGACACTTCCCCACACGAGCCACCCCCTGACTGGTCATGCAGTGCTGAGTGTTGAATCCTCCCTGGATAGGAAAACCTATCCTTTTGTTCCCCTGGCCATGTTAACACATTTGCATAACCTCATTAATAGAAGCTGTACAAATCAGAAGGATGTGTTGTTGGGAAAGGTGAAGAACTACATTACTTCTTAGTGATGATCGCTGTTACACCAGGGGACTGACTGCCTGATAACTTCTCATGCTTCAATCTGAAGAGTTCCTGAGAAAACCGAAAGTAAACATTCAAATTAAATTATGTTTTCTGAAGCATTAGGTCAGTAAAGTCACAACAGAATATTTGCAAAAATTCCTCTCAAAGAGCTGTCAAAAAGTTTGTCTTTCCAAAAGACTGAGAGAAGAACAGCATTCAGTTAAAAAAATATCCTAACCCTGACTGCTGGTACAAGGCACTTCCTGCTGTGGTTCCACCTACACAGTAAGTGGAAACTTAAATATAAAAATTCTTAGAAGATAAATAAGTTGTATTATTTTACCTCTTGCTGCTGTTTAATACAGGCTTCTTTCTCCTCCAACATGCATGTCAGTTCCTGCAGCCGTACTTGCAGGTCACTGTTACTTCCTTCTCTCCTGGATATATCTTGCTGGAATTGGCTTAACTGAGACTGTAACAGAGGGTGTTAGAACAGTCAGGGGTTGCTGTGTCTTGTTGCTGTGTCAGCTAGGGACCCCAGACAGGTTTTGGGGTCTTTTCTTCATTAATATCATAGACAGTAAGACCAGTGAGTTTCAAACAGGGAGGTGAGTGGCAAAGTGCTGTCAGAGGGTGCTAACTGGATTGAATTCTACCCAGTGTCAACAGCCTGGTTTTGTAACTCAACAAAGATAATACAACCCTGAACCAGTTGAATTGGATTCCAGGCTGGTAAAATAAGACTGCAAGGATTAAAGTAAGACATTTCCTACTTAAAATTCTCCCTGGGATTTATTTCTGTTTTCTGTTGGGTGTCTGTTGGCTAGTTTCATACTTTATCAGGACACACAACACTTGTCTTTAGGAAAGGCTGCTACTCTGATCAGACCCCAATTTACCTAAGGAATTACGGTGTTTAAATCACAGTTTTACTACCTTAGTATCTCTGTACAATGTAACTGCAGCATCAGAAGGTACCTATAAGTACCTAAGGTGGGTCTTTCCTGACCCTCAGTGAAAAGCGGCTGGTCCTGCCCTGACAGTTCAGGAATGCCCCGTGGCATGTTCAAC